CCGTTATCCATGATGAAAGAGCCATTGAAAAAGAGGAGTAATAATGCCATTGATGTACAGTGATGATATCATACCAACATGGAGTCTCCTTATGTTAGGAGAGATATCTCCTGACATAACACTTCCCCCCGTCACAAGAATTGTATAGAAAATGAAGAAAATGTTGCACGAAGTTGAGCAAAGATTCGATCAGCCTATTACTAATACGCTGTAATTGACGTAAATAGATGTTCATAAATGAAAATGGAAAAAAACAAAGTTGACCAAAGTAATGAATAAACGTTGTTGAAGGAAATCCATGTGTTTAGAATTCTTGTGCATTTGGTAAAATGAACAAAGCCACCATATCTGCTAGATTTTGATGGACATTCCAATAAAAAGATAGGCGAACGTCAATACAAATGAAGATGTGCGAATATTTTTTGTAAATACCGTGTTCGAATTCCAATGGTCCGTTCCATTTGAGCAGGGAGAAATGTCATTCCACCTACTATACCAATGATTAACTTGGTTTATTAGGGTACAGCTAAAGTTCTAAACCAGTCAAAGTAATTCTTAGTATTTAGTCTCATATTATTAATTAAATAAGGAGTTTTTCTATGATAATAAAGAAGTATAAAACGAACGATACTTCTAAACACCATACTAAAAAATAGAAGAGTGATAAAATTTATGCCAGACGAGACTATTTCAGTAATATTGGATTGTAGTGAATGTTTTGAGTGAATTGTATTTAGTTTTAGTGAAACGATTATAGTATCGAGCTGACTAGAGTCAGAATAAAAATCGACAATAATATTGTGTTTTACTACTTCTTCGTTGAATAATGGTTTCTGCTTCCGTAGTGTTTCGGGTTTACACATAGCTGTTTGTAAGGGCAATATCATTTCATTCGATTGGTGAACGAATAATGACGAGACACACTCACAGACGCAGGACAGTTGTGATGGCGAGTCTTCGACAATGTTGAATGTCGAACTGGGTACCATTTTATTTTTCTTGAGTGCAATAAACTGATTGCGTTGTGGCCGTTCATCATGTATGAACCACGATTCGTTACCTTCAGGCCACTCAGTTTCATAATTTTCATCAACATATTTCAGTAAAACAGTACTAAATAAAACATTTTCATGCAATTCTATTAATTCTTCTTTACGCTTCTGATTTGCTATATAATCAAGTATATGTTGAGAATGAAGGCGACGATGGTTAAGTAAAAATGTCTCGTAAGATGGGCTATCTCCGCTGGATAGATATCATCAAGTTCAATCATGACAGAATCATCATAACATGCTATCGTTTCAATCAGCACGGGCACACATTGATTTACTTGAGACACAATATCTTCCGTGAGTAATGTTGGTGCAAACTCTTTTGTGAATTCTTGAATAAATACTGGCCATGAATCTAAGACGAACAAATTTTCGAAGAGCCATCTTCTCGCACAACCGTT